GGAGCGAGCGGGGGGAGGGAGAGGAGGAGGGAGGGTACGTTTACGTGTGTTTTGCGATATAGTGTGAGTGGTAATAACCCCGTTTTTGCTCTTGTATACCGAGCAAGGCTCATTGCCTTATTGGCTCACGTGAGTCCCCCACCATAATGTGTGTGTAATACACAAGGTTGGCGCCGGCGCCGGCGTGCACATTTCGGCATCATCTAACACCGTGGCGGCAGTATTATCATTCACTGTTCTGCCATCATCGTCGTCATCATGTGCATCAAAATCCCTGCTCAAAATCACCACCATTACCACCATTATCATGGCGACCATCACCATCCGGCGGAACAGCAGTGGCGGCTGAAAATGCAGCCCCCCTCCTCTGCGCCTCTTCCCAAACGGCCATAAACGTCTGAAAGCCGCAGATTTATATTCCTATCCGGCCGATCTAGAGTGCACTCCGAGACACGCCCAGCGCCAGGAGCGGCGTAGATGCGGGATGCTGGTCTGCGCGCCAGACGGGGCAAATTGGTGCCAGTAGACATACACATTTTTTTTCTTTCGCTCTCAAAATACCCTGGTGTAATAATTTGAATAATTTTAAGGAGCTGAAAATTTTCGACTCGTAATTCAGACATACTTGGGTACGCTCATAAGTGAACAAACCAATAAAATTAATTAAGTTTGATGTAGATTGATGATCTTTTTATTTTTTTTTATTTTTAGTTTTTCGTTTTACTTCAGGGAAAGAAGTGTATAGGTAGACTTGGAAAAGATCATCATGGTAATTCGATCCAAACATTTCTCTGAGGGTATGGGAGTGAACGGTATTGTCCGTCTTCAATCACGCAAACCGGACCCCACCCCACCCCATTGGGGGAAGAGAGAGAGAGAGAGAAAGACAGAAAGTCTTTCAGGGTAAAACCATCCTACAAAATCAAGCTCCGCAGATCAGCTTCCTCGGAGGATGCTCCGCAGGACCAATTGGGAGCCGGTTTGCACCGGATGCTGGGGACGTATTGTATCCGAAATCCCCCCACGGAGCAACAGATGTCTGCCGGCAAGCCCCCTCCGCCTACCCTTCCACCCTGCACTCCACCCCTACGCGTCTACGGTCGGGCCTGTCTGGTCGTCTTCCCCCCCCCCTCTCTCTCTCTCTTCCTCCTTCATCTGCCCACACCCCTCTCCCACCCCCCGGAAGGCCAACTTATTCTGAGAGCCAGTTGGCC